GCCAATGGCAGTCAGCAGGGTTTAAGAACATAAGTTGTTCGACCTGTTAGTCAAATGCGTTTTGTTAAAATATACTTTTTCACTTTTTTGGTCTTTTGGAAAATGTTGTTTGTGCTGTATTTAGACCCCTCTACCAAGAAATTTTTTTTGCATGCACACGTATAAAAATTGCGGTTTTAATCCAACGCAATCAAAAATCTGTTAACAATTATTAGTATTTATGTTTAAAATTTACTTCTAGTTGACTTTTTAAGATAGGAAAGGAAGAATTGTACAAAACTCACTAAGTGCTTTATTCAAATTACAAAGATCTTTATCATCTTCCAATCCAAGTATTTCAACTCTTTTACATATATATGACCACACAATAAACCCTATTATAATGTATGGCAGTGAAATTACAGGTATTTCAAAACTAGCTCTGCGGCATGCCAGGAAGAAAATGAATATCTATTACAGCAAATTTATATTGATGATTTTTTTAAGATATATTCAATTTTAGATACCGGTACGTGAAGTATATTTTAAATGTAAATAAAAAGTCCTCTAACTTGGCTGTGCTAGGAGAACTTGGAAGATTTCCTTTATATTTTTCAGTTGTTTTATCAATGGTGAAATATTGGTTTAGAATAAAAAAGATATGAAAGATGGTTTACTGTATGATACATATATGTGTAACAAAAACATGTTTACTAATAATGTCGAATGCTGGTATTCAACAATATACATTTTATTTTTAAAAAGCTGAATATTCAAATTTCAGATGTAAAGCTCGACTTTTTTTATCAAGTCAATTAAGCAAGAACTTTGTAATAGTTTTATAAATGTTTGGAACACAAAAAGAACAGATACAAAGAGTAGTAAATTAGATACTTATTTCAAACTTAAAACTTGTTTTTCTAAAGAAATTTATCTATCTTTTAAACAATTTTCGATTGAAAAGTGCCATATGTATAATCAGAATCAGTGCTCATGATCTCAAAATAGAAAGAGACAAATATAAAACTTTATATATAGAAAGAGATCAGAGGCTTTGTAAGAAATGAACCCTTAATTTGGTTGAAGATGAACAACATTTCATTACTAGTTTTCCAGCATACAATGATGATAGAGAGATATTTTTCAGGGAGATAAACAATATTTGTCATAATTTTTCAGATCTCTCAAATGAGGCAAAGTTTGTTTGGTTATAATTTGTCTGTCCTAAAATATTTAGGGAACTATGTTATTAAATGTCTAGATGTTAGACGAAACGTAAATTAATATACGTAATAACGACGATTGTTGTAATGATTTTATGGTTCTGGTCCTGCCTGGAATAAAATGTACATGATTTATATAAGATGAAGAAATATATGTAGCTTTGTTATTAAATAAACATTTAATATTTCATTTCAATGTGAAATCATAGTGTATTGTTTTGTGTATAATTGTCATGCTGCCCACCAAGGGCCCTTAATTGGAACAATACATATTCTTATTATTGTATTACACCTGTTTAATCTTTGCCACTGAAATAAGTCCTAAATTTACCACAACTATGGAAACGCAAATAACAGTGATTAAACAAAGGAAAAAATGAGAACATTTTTGGTATATAGGACAAATACACTGGAGAAATAATAAACATGTACTTTTACCAGACTTTCAACGGATGATATTCAAATCAAAATGTTTACTAGATTTATAGTTTTTTCAATGAACCTGTTGCAGCAGACATGAAATCGTCTTATAAACAGGCAATGCATGCACGTTGATTTCCAAGGGGGGTCATTTGTTATAAAAATATAGCTTTTAAAGTCGTAGCTTTCAAATTTTACGAATTTACTTATTAACGCAACTGTTTGGATATAACTAGATAGATATTGTTTATTTTTAAAGTTATTATCCATGTAAAATAACGCAAGGTTCGGGTTTGGGGGTGGTGGAGTTGTGGAGGGGAAGACAAGTTCAGTGGTTAAAGTCTATAAGACCAAGTAAAACAGTATTTGTGTGACGAGTGCACTATAAGGTAGATAGATAGGATTCTTTTCAATTTTTTACAGGTAATATATGGGAAGACCTGCAATTTTATCGTGATTTACCTCCGAAGGTGACAAAAAACTTTAGGATAGACATTTCTAGGTAGGTAGAGTAAACCATAAACACAATTATTTCTTTTTGTTACGTATAAGTAATAATCTGCAAAAACATAGGATTAAGGAGGATTAAAAGATAAACATATAGTACATAAGTTTTAAATATGATTTTACAGTTGTAGGACGGGCACAACTTTACTATCCCTTTGTTGATTGTTAAGTATCTGTATACGTATCAATACAGATGCACTGTTTATCTCTTTTTTGTGTGTTTACGTTTGAAGTTATTAAATTATTAATTTGCATTTTTTAAATAAAAATCCGGTGGATATGTAAAATAATCAATTAAGATGAGTAGACATTTTACATCTATCAATACATCAAACTTGTCATGCAGTGTATGACACGTTCTTGTACAGTTTGATAGCTTTAAATTGTTTTTTTTATACACAAGATGAGTTACAACAATGATTTGGTTCTAATGATGGGGATTCTCCCTATAACTTTCCCTATAAACTATTTGTATCTGCGATTTATTTTTTAACAAGCTTGACTTTATTTTTGCATACATTTAAGTTGACATGTCTCACGGAGGTCACGAAGTTTGATCAGTATTAAACCACCACAATGAATAATAATACAAGACGGAAGTGACTTGTGGCAGGTCAAAATAACCGAGACCTTTGTTAAACCAGCGCTCTAGTCCATTGATTGATATGCAACTGTATAAAAACACTATAACGTAAAATAATATAAATAAAATATATGTTTTATTTAATTCTTGGTGGGAAATAAAACAATCGACACTAATCTCTCGTGTACAGATACTTCAATATTCTTGTCTGCTGTCAGTAAATCAGACGCTTCCATATTCTTGTCTGCTGACAGTAAAACAGACATTTCCATATTCTTGACTTTACTGACAGTAAAACAGACACTTCCATATTCATGTCTAACTGTCAGTAAAACAGACACTTCTTTATTCTTATCTTTACTGTCAATAAAACAGACACTTCAATATTCTTGACTTTACTGTCAGTAAAACAGACACTTCAATATTCTTGTCTTAACCGTTCAGTAAAACAGACACTTCTATTTTGTTGTCTTTACTGTCCAATAAAACAGGCACTTCTTTATTCTTGTCTTTGCTGTCAGTGACAGAGTTTGGTATTTTTGTAATGCTTTTTATCATAAAGTGTTAACTCAAAATTTTTTGCAGGAAATGTCTAAAATGTCAACTTACCTAAGTCACAATATTTTGAGCTAGGGTTAGTTTCAATTTGTAATTTGAATATTTTTTTATATTAGATTTTTTTCTAGCTTTTCTAGATATCAGTTGATTAAGCTTATTGTTTAGGCACTTTAATCTTCTGAGTATTTTCGTTTAGCCTTCAAATTCATAAAACATCGTTTTGTGTAAATACACAAGCCCTGTAATATGACCGAAAAGGAAAACTAGAAATCAAAACAAAGAATATACAAGATTATTACCGGAAGAAACAACAAAAAATATAGAAAATAAATCAGCATAAAATTAACACTTCGTTTAAACAAATCTTGGAGTTAACTCATTTGCTTCAAAAGTGTTATTAGTTCCTTGTCGACGCATGACGTTATTATTACAAGAAAAGTATACAGAAGAATTATCATCTCTTTCACACATTTTGTTTTATTGGAACGCTAATGTTGAAGTAGCAATTGTTATAGGAGTAAATACCTAGAATGTATCATTGTTAGTACAACAAATCTAGAAACAAAAAAAAAAAAACATTCGAGTGAAAACAGCTGAAATTGATATTGATGCTCTGTTCATCTTTTTACTTGCGTCGCCAAAGGCGAAAAGGCGAAAGCAGGTCTAGTAACTGTTCAACTCCGTTCGTCAATAGGACCTTGAGTAGGAAACTTTCGATCAAAATTTTCTTTGCTTCTATGAAAGGAAATTATTTGATATTTGATCTGCAGCAAGGAAAAGGTTTTCTTTGCTTCAATGAAAGGGAATGACCAGTAATGCTCCGGTATACAAGTTACCTCAATCAATTGCATGCAGCGACGCAGGTCCAGACCCGGTACTCGTCAGGGTTTAGTCGTGGTGCTGTAGGTCCAGACCTGGTACTGGTCTGTGGTAAGTCGTGGTGTTGTATTATTGTTTACAAAAAATTACAAAAACAATCAGGGACATAAAAATAAGATAACATCCACGGAAGAGGGGGTGGACAGGGGGTCCCTGATTCCCACTTCCCTACCCCAAAACTCCCACTTTTTGGAGGTAAAATTATCGAAATATTCTTTATTACGCTGAGGACAACCCATGCTTTGCAAATTGTAGGGGGCGCACGCCCGCCACGCCCCCGCTTGAATCCGCCACTGTTAACTCCCAGACGAAAATCGGTCAAAAAATCTCACGGATGAGAAAATAATATTTGCAATATACCCAACAAATGGCAAAATAAAGAATAGTATAGTAAACTGAAACTTTTCTAAATAGTCGAAACTGGAAACTGAATTAATTTCGACGTAGAAAAATCTATTATAGATATTCGAGTATATTATACTGAAACAACGTTACTATGATATTTGTCGGTAAAACTGTGTAGTTTTCTTTTATGTTTCTCAATTTATGTCTAATCTTATGTATTTGTATGTAATGTGATAAAAGCTCTTTATAGGGCCCTTTAATTGGAAATTAAATATTCTTATTCTTCTTATTCTTATATAATAAAAAAAAACACAAAATAAAAAGTTTATTTGAATGAAACAGGTAATATCCAATCAAAAGAGCAAGGTGCAGTTTCCTAATGTTTATTTAAACTTTAAGTTCGATTGTTTAGTAACCCCTACGTATTTACCTGAATTGACCCATGATGTCATACAGGTAAATATGTCTAATAATAGAAATCCTTTATTGTAATGATGAAATGAATGAGTAACTAATATCCTTACCACGTGGTCAAAAGGGAAATACCTGATATCTGAAAAAGACAAAAAGAGGTTTCATATTCAATAAAAATATAACATGGAGGGAAAGAAATACGTTGTATATAATTTCGTGGTATCAATAAGTATGTGTACCATTTTAGTACAAGGAAATACAACCGTAACTGGTAAGATTTATCATTTTGTATTTTTTTCTACAGTTATTAGTATGTTTCTTTGCGTTGTCATTTCTTTGTTCTTTAAACAAACCTTTAAATATTATAATCAAAACCATAAAGATACCTTTTGGAAGATTTAATATACATCTGTACCCCCTACCAATTAAATTATCTTTCAAAATTGAATAAATCTTCATAAAATTAGTTATTTGACGACTTATCATAGTGATGGACTAAATAACTTCAGTTGAAAACAATGACAGAAATGAATGACATTATACAAAGTTTATGCAAATGGTATAACCGTTAATATTGTTCAGATCGATAGTAAACTAATAAAGAAGCCATTCGTATACAACTTTTGTTGACCAGTATAGCCAGCTTGTTGGTTCCTGTGTAATACCAAAAAAAAAAAGGGGGGGGGGGGGGGTTGCGATCCCTGTTATTCCTTTATGCAAGTATTATGAAAATATAAAGAATAGATGTTCCTGAATAAACATACATATCAGAGGACAGATTATTTATTTAATTATTATTGTTCAAATTTATAACAACAAAACTACATATTAAACTTACATTTATATTAATGGACATAAGGCAATAAGTCCAATGTTACTAACAATTAAAAGGAACATAATCAATGAATAATTTTCTAATATTGTTATTATAGTGTTTTGTATACAAAATGTATGTCAATTAATCTAATCAGCTGATTATTCCCTGGGTAGTCAGTGGATTGTAATAGGGTACGTTAAGAGAAACTTGGAATCTTGATGGTTTATGTAACAAGCAATATTTGATGAATAAAATTATTATGTTGTTAAAAAAAAAAAAACTTACCTTCGCATGGTCCATTTAAAAAAAAGACAATTATGAAAGCGCAAAAAGTTCAAATCATACAACTTTCTTTGTGTCTTGAACGTTTCAAAGACGGATTGATTTTTGTTTAATCCAAGTTGCAAAATAACCTCCAATTTTAAAGGCCTTGGTTCAACCATAAAGGTACCGAACCCACGACCGATTCCACTCAAGGCGCGCATGCTAGCACAATACCACAAAGGCGGTTAAGATTTAAAAGAAAAATAAGAATAATTTTTTTTTTAACATTATAAAATTACTATAAACAGAGAAGATATTAAAGATGCAATGACATTTCAAGTAATCGCATGGCCATAGACCACCCACCAAAAAATAGAATAAAATAAAATAAAATAAAGAAAGAGAAAAAAAAATATAAGAGAGAGAAAAAAAAACAAAAAAACACAAAAAATAAAAAAAAAATAAAAATCCAATACCTCCACAACATTGTACACAGAAAACTTTATAAACTGTTTTATTTTTGTGGTTAAATGTTTTTCTTACAATAACATCTGTAATGTTTACATTAGATAGAAGGACAAGAATGATCACAACAAAACATCATATCAGTGCTGACGACAATTGCCAATCATAGTTACTTATTATGACCAATAGGGAAATATATCACTTATTACCAAAATTGACGTGTTGACTTGTACTTTTAGAGGATTACATGCATATAAATAAAATATCACCTTAAATGAGTGTCACATTGAATTTTGAAGGCTTGCGGTCAAACAGACTCAGAATGATCAATATTTTATTTGGCTTCATTACAATAAATTATAAATAGATTACAAGCTTGTAGTCTATTTTGAGGGACATATTTGTAACTTCATTTATGCTCTCTTTTGAAAGAAATCAAACATAATACGCAAGTCCCTACTGAAACCATTGTAATAGGATTTAGCATCTAGTTATATGATATGGTCTACGGGTTGTTAACTACAGTCTATGAAAAAATGGGAAAATGTAACCCAAATAAAGTCTATGATATTAAAATTTAAATTGTAAAGATTAATTTGAAAGATGTTTTATTATAATTTATCTTTATGTTTTACACAATTTTGGTGTTACAAATATTTGCATGTTTTTTTATTGGCCTAATTCAATGAGTATATCTATTACTATATAAGGTATAGATATATTGCACGTAACACTTGTCAGGATGTTTCACAAATCATCCATGAAAAGACATTTTCATTACATAACATCTAGAGCAGTCCAGTATCAACGGGAATGATCAGCTGCTGTTTAAACAATACTGACGGACATAAAAAACGCAACACACATTTTTGTTGATACCTGACTTACCCGAGATGATTGGACATACTGGATTATTGATTTCCACGAGTTTTCTTGACGCTAGATTTGAAACCCATCGTGACATAAATTTTTTCGTTTTTTTCTTCGTGAAACTTCTTTGAATGCCCATACTAAAATCAGAAAAAAAGTTGCTGTGCTTACATACAACCGAGACTGTGCAAAAAAAATGCGAATCAGGCGATAAAAATGTTGCAAGCATGAATAAGTCAACGTGCTTTGCTCGACTATTTCATGTCAAAATTCCCCTTTCAGTTCCTACAACAACGGTACAGGCAGACGGGATTTGTAAATGACCACCCATGACTAGGTCACTGTGACCTGCAGTTACAACGAGAGATGTTTATGACTGCAATGTCAACTGCTAACCACAGGGTGTGATGGGAGACAGATTTGAGCCAACCACAAACTCGACCGTGAAAAATCATTATAAGGTTTACAGTTTGAACTACATAATTGCCAAAATCAGTGTAATAGACAGGGGAAAATTCAAATTGGACAAAACTGACCCCCTCCTCCTTCCCACACAGAACTGGACAACGTCTTTGTCAATCTTAAAAGTGTAGGTTTAAAGTACTCATTGCCTTCGACAGCGGACACATCCATTAATAAGGAGAAAACCAAGGTTTCACTGCATACCACATTGTTTTAACATTTTAAGTGACGTGATCAATTCAACTTTCGAACTGCAAACTTTATTAAGTCAATGGATAAAATGCATGTTTATATATGTATTTTACAAGTACTGCATATCTGAAAAAGAAAATTAAAACAAATAGCGACAGTGCTGCATTTTTAAGGTCCGTCAGTATAGCTGCGACCTCAAATTACACATATTAAGATTTTTTTTTAAATCCGACTCATTCAAGTAGATTACGATACAGAATGATTCGTGTCTCTTTGGGATTACCGTCTGGGTCGATTCGTGTCTCTTTGTGGTTACCTTCTGGGTCTTGTCATTAATCACGGCATATTTCTTCTTCATAACTATTTATTCCACTCATTTTTTTATCGTCCTGAACATGCATGTTCGGTGTGAGCCAATGCTCCGTGTTGAAGGCCGTACCTTGACCTATATAATGGTTTACTTTTATAAATTGTAACTTGGATGGAGAGTTGTCTCATTGGCACTCATACCACATCTTCCTATATCTATGAACTTGATATTTGCCACTGAAAGTTAAGCAATAAACAACAACAACATTTTTTTTTATGTTTAAAAAATTAGTTTCGAGAGATTATATAAATATTAGTTTTACCATTAATTATAACTTTTGGTTACTAAAAATAGCCCGTTTAAATTCTGTATGTTAGGTAAGGTGTATTTACATGGTTATCATTAACACTTTAAATATGACGTCATTACAAATTTTGTGTTTCGTTTTCCAGTTATGTGTTTAAAAAGTCTGAAAATGTCGCAATAGAAATTTCCATTTCTCTTAGATCTTAGATACGATTTTGAAATATTTTGACCAAACAACAGTATGTGAGAATTCGCATGGAAATACAGATATGTTCACCTTGTTTAGTAGGAGATTACAAGGTTCAGTTTCTGATAGTCTTTTGTACTTTTGATAGTCTTTATTCATCTTTGGTATTTAGCTTTAGATTACCATTTTACAGAAGTGGTTTCAGTATGCCTATGCAGTTTTTTTCATTATTGATCATGTGTACGCATTGAACTGTTTGGTAATGCAATAAATGGCGACTGATTTTATAGGTGGCCTGAAAATTCTAATACTGATTAAAATTGATAATGAAGAAATGTTGAATTCAAGAAAATGATTTTTGTCATATTAACAGCTTTTTAATGTCCTATATGTAATGTTTTGGTATTATATTACCACATGTTCAATTATCGTGACAGAACAAAAATGAATATTGATATATATACTTCGTATGAAATTTATCACAACAATTTTAGATCTGCAGATTTCCTGTTCTTCCCTCAGCTATAGCTGTACCAAAGATTCTGTGGCATCGTGACAAATCATTATGTTCTGTGTCCATCTTTGTTATGTGTCCAACGCCTTAGACCACTAGGTCAGCTAGGCTATATAAAAATAGAGCTTTTATTAGTAATCGTAATGATATTATATTATTATATGCATGGTAAGTATTATCTTCTACGACAGACAAAGATCAGCTGATCTGCAAGGTATACCATATTTATGCCACAATACATCATTACAATCTTAGATAAAGCGTTGGACACAGTGCAAGTGGAGTTGCCACGATGGCACAGAAGTATGGGTTCAAATCCCGCTTATGGGGAAGAACAAATATCTGCTATCGCAAATTTTCAAATCTTACATTGATGGAACAATTTCAGACGAAGTATATATGTAATTTGTGGTCTTAGTCCTGTTTAATACATATGTATCTGATGGAGAACGTCTGTCGTAAAGTTGTCACAATTTAGACGCATAATCTATACTATTAAATGAGAAGACTTCATTTTGTGTGTCGCTTCTCTTCCTTCCACATTAAACCAATCATCATGCTTTTATGTCCTATAGGTACCATGCATAGTCGCATTTGTCATCCTCGCTTATTAATATTTCGTTTGGGGTTTTTTGGGAGAAAAACGAAAATAAAGACGTCCGGATATTGTTTCCGTCCTCGGACTGACTTTTAAGTCATAGATAAGACTTCCGCTTAGGACTTAAAACTTACACATTATTTTCATAGGTATAAGGGGACAGGACAATTATTTTCGCGGTTTTTCTGAATACTATGAACAAACATACATGTATACTATATAAATACAGTGTATTTGCTATTTTGCTATCAATTCCAAGTTTAACTCCATGAATTGATAATAAATACCAAATAAACTGTATTTATATAGTATATGTTATTATGTATGTTCATAATGTACAGAAAAAAAAACGCTAATATAATTGAAATTAACAGAAAACAACAAAAAAGTAACGGACTTTGGAAAAAGGGGGAGGGCTAAAAAAGTTGTACTGTCCCCAAGTACCTTTGACTTTTGATAACTTTCCTGAAATACTCCAGTCATAAAATCTTTTACAAAAATTCACCCTACAACAGTTTACATACCATCAACAACGCTCTAAATGCCCGCGATTTCGCGGGTGTGTTCTAGTGATCATAATCTATATTGATATGATGATTTTTGTTCGTTTTGTTACAACGGTATTGCACATGCAAATGATATATATTTTCCCTTAACGAGATTCTTGTTCAAGCTGTTGAAACATAAAAGGGAACAAATTATGTGTCGTGTCCATTATTTTAGACCACTCAGCAAATAAGTTTATGTGAAACTACAGTTTGCGTTTGTTCGTGCGTATCTCATATCTCGAACAATCTTTTTTTCTTCTCAAAAACATTCTTATTATTTTAGAATAAAACCCAATGTAATTTTCAATCATTTTTATAGTTTAAATATTACATGTATGTCATTAATCAAATAAATAGGTTAGGAATAGTACATGATCTATTAGATGTTTGTTTTCTTGTTTTTATACAAGTGATTAGATGTCTGAGACAGGAACGTGAGATTGTACGTGTTCTTCGTGCTTCACACATATAATTCATCGGATAAAGCTATGTTAAAAGCTAAACATTATAACATTTTTAAGATGGTTTGAACTTACAGTACAATATATAAAATGTTTGAACAGCAAAACGTCACGTAAAACATATTTCAAGTATAATTATGTCATTGAAAGCTTCCTTGTTCCCGGGTACATACTGAACGACCTAGTTGCGACCTTGGCAGAGGTAAATTGTAAAATGAATTGATATTTTATAGGAATTAAACAATTCACAATAAAGACTTGATTAATTCCTGTAACATATTCCTTGTATAATTTCTATAAAATATCAGTTAATTCCACAATTCACCTCGGCCAAGATCGCAACTAAGGGCATAGACATACGTTTTATGGATACAAATTAAAGCCGCACGAGTACAGGGGAAACCCTGTCAAAAATGCACCTGTAATTAGGGACAATTCGAGACCCTCATGCAAAATCCAGATCGTACTATATCCTTGTAGTAATAGGTTATGGTTGTAACTAACGACTCATTACATTTATTTCTGATTAAGTTTTCAACGGGTATATAAATTTTATAAAATTAAAATTAAACATAACAGCCAAATTGTCAAAGGTGTATAAGATAGCAAAAACATATGATACAACGTACGTCACTGTTAAAACATGCTAGGTAAAAACATAGACTAGCTTAACGGTTGTTACGTCCCTGAAAGTGTATATCTTTTTCTTTCGTGAAAATAAATAGACCCCTGTAATAATCAGCAATTCTTACCACATTGATTCTTCAGCAGCAGTATCCAACCAATAGGGTGGCTTCATTAACTTAATTCATGTAGAAGCAAGCATGTCTGATCCTGTACATGTTGATCATTTAGTCTAAATAGACAAAACATGGGGGGGGGGGGGGGGGGGGGGTAGTGGCCATGTAAAACTGATTTAACCAGACCGAATTTTGTGCGTACACGAAGTCAGGCTGTCTTTGTTTGTAGGTCTAAATGTTTTTCTGAGAGTCGGTGTTGGTGTTTTATGTGTACTACTTAACAGTCCAATATTGTTTTATAATTCCTTATGTCCTTCTAATGTATGAAACAAACATCTGTTTCATGATTTATTACACATGCTCCTCTTCGGTACAGTGTTTTAAATAACTAACGTTATAACGAACTATATCATTCAAATGAAATATCAATCTCAATAGACTCAAACACTTACTTTATTCAAGGTTAAAAGTGATATTATTTTAACCCTTACTTAATTCATATTTTTTTAATCTGACTTAATTCAAGTAAAAAGTGAAATTTCTCATGACAATCTTCTTATCAGTATGTAAGATAAGCTTTTCTTTTTTTTTTCTTATGATGGTTTTCTGTTGAATCCATTTTATGGTTGGTTCAATAAAACCGTGTTTGTAGTGATATCAAAGATATATATATATATATATAGTACTAAAACTTTGATAACAAGGATATAGACAGTATTTATTGGTCAAATGTGTTTACTAGTACTATTAAAAATGTAATGAAAGTGGCATTACAGGTTTAAAACATTTATAAAGCAAACAATCTCTTCCTGATTGTATATGACATAACTGTATGAAATCTAGCCCAAAGTCTGTCTTTAGTATAATAGTGAAGAAACTGATCAAAGATACTGTAGAATGGCTTTATTTCATATCAGGTAAAGGTTGATTGAGAGACTTTTAACTTGCTTTCAGTAACAGCAAACCCTCTTTGGTACGATTTATTTTTTATTGCTTTGTTCGAACCTGTGTTCCCTCTTTTTTTCTTTTTTTTATACGATCTTTTTTGTATTGTTTTGTTCGAACCTGTGTTCCCTCTTTGATACGATTTATTTTTTATTGCTTTGTTCGAACCTGTATTTTGTTGTATTTTATACCGATATCATTGTGTTAAGTGCATTTTCTAAACTTTTTTTTATAAATTGCATCTTCTGCTATGTAAAATTTGTAATTCCACTAATTAAAATTGTGCATACACCTATTAACTGTGTTTTCATAAAGCGAACATGTACTAAAATGCCATTATGGCATTTCATGGTAAACATGTGTGATAGCAACTAAAAACGAACTATCATAAATTATAAATTGAAACTTCAATAGATAGCACAGATGACATATTGAAAATAAAATATATAACAACATTATATTAAAGACAATAATAACAAAACAACATTTTATTAATAACAACATTTTATTAATAACAATGATAACAAAACAACATTTTATTTGATTTATTGTTGTCGATCGTACATAGACCTTATTTTTTTCTGTCGAACGTTTGCTGGCTCTTTAATGAATACACTACATGTGCATGTATTGATATTTGTATTGTTTATAAAGTGTTAAAAATATCAAATACATGATTGATTGTTGCTTGCTTTACGTCACGTTAAGGGAAATATGGACTTGATAACCACACAATGAAGATTCTAATCCTTTCTTTAACTGTAGGATATTGGACACAGTGGTATGATGTAGACACACCCAGAGTTGGTATCGGTGACGTAGAGACGGTATCTGCTATAGAAAGGGTAAGTACATGTTACAATAGCGACATTAAACTGAAACACTCAGACTTTGTATGTGATATATTGAGATGGTACCTGTTTTATTATCATTCAATGTTTTTTTCTAAAGAAACTTTCGACAAAAATATTATGTGAAATATAGTCAATATTGTCATATTGCATTGATATTTAATATCAATATGGTCAGCAATTATAGGTTGTAAAGGCTTACTAACTGTGTGTTATATACAATCAGGAATCTCTGTTTACAGGAAGGACCATCTATTTGTGATAAACAGTACTTCATCTATCACAGTGAATGCAGAACACATATCTTTGATAACTGGTTGGAGTTTACAGAACGTGAGGCACATCTAGCACCTGACAAACTGCATAACGCCTGTACAAAAACGGGATTGGAATGCAGGAACGAAGATCAACCAATGGAAGCTACGTGTAGGGATTACCAGGTCCGGTTTTACTGTGTATTACCAATAGGTATATTAACCATTCAGTTATTAATGAGATTCTCTCCCGTACGTTAAATACATGGCTAATAAAGAACATGGAGTTATAACATTCTAAACACTTTGTCTGGATGTGATGGCTATGGCTAATTGTGTTAAATTTATATAAATAAGGAGTTGTGGTATGATTGTCGATGAGACAACTATCCACCAGGAGATGTGGTATGATTGTCGATGAGACAACTATCCACCAGGAGATGTGGTATGATTGTCAATGAGACAACTATCCACCAGGAGATGTGGTATGATTGTCGATGATACAACTATCCACCAGAGTTAGAATAAGGAGATGTGGTATGATTGTCGATGAGACAACTATCCACCAGGAGATGTGGTATGATTGTCAATGAGACAACTATCCACCAGGAGATGTGGTATGATTGTCGATGATACAACTATCCACCAGGAGATGTGGTATGATTGTCGATGATACAACTATCCACCAGAGTTAGAATAAGGAGATGTGGTATGATTGTCGATGAGACAACTATCCACCAGGAGATGTGGTATGATTGTCAATGAGACAACTATCCACCAGGAGATGTGGTATGATTGTCGATGATACAACTATCCACCAGGAGATGTGGTATGATTATCGATGATACAACTATTCACCAGAGACTAAAGGATCAGGATGTAAACAACTATAGCGCATTGTACGACCTTCAACAATGAGTAAAACCCATATCGTATAGTAAGCTAATAAATCTGGCGGGGTTAAACATTCTAGATGTGTCTATCTTAAGTCATGAGCCTACTAATTCAGTCGTTGTCTTTGTCCTTGTACAATATATAAACTATTATTGACATAATGTAAACATAAATTAAGTAAAGCATTACAATGTTTGAGGCGAATGATCAATTGTCTCCCGTCGAACAGGTCTTGCTTGTCTAACACAGTTATTTGTTAACAGCTGATTCACAACATTAACGTGCATGTACATTAATGAAACTTGTAACATACATGACAAGTGTTGTGGAAGAACCATTGTAAAGTTCACAGTTCAATCGTAAAAAAATGAGTTACCGACATTTTTATCAAAACATGATAAAATAACATATATATTAATGTAAATTCGAACATGATATCTGCCATGCTACAATAAGGTGATATGTCCTGATACAATTAATGATATCTACCATGATAAAAATCTTATCAAACTTTAAATTTAAGACACCAATGAACATACAATATTATTGCAGAGAACTAGCATACCATAAGGTTCTGATTGTTTGCCTTGTGATGTGACTAAGGTTCTGATTGTTTGCCTTATGATGTGACTGAGGTTCTGATTGTTTGCCTTGTGTGTGACTGAGGTTCTGATTGTTTGCCTTATGATGTGACTAAGGTTCTGATTGCTTGCCTTGTGATGTGACTAAGGTTCTGATTGTTTGCCTTGTGATGTGACTAAGGTTCTGATTGTTTGCCTTATGATGTGACTTAGGTTCTGATTGTTTGCCTTATGATGTGACTAAGGTTCTGATTGTTTGCCTTATGGTTTGACTAAGGTTCTGATTGTTTGCCTTGTGATGTGACTAAGGTTCTGATTGTTTGCCTTATGATGTGACTGAGGTTCTGATTGTTTGCCTTATGGTGTGTACCTTATGGTGTGACTGAGGTTCTGATTGTTTGCCTTATGATGTGACTGAGGTTCTGATTGTTTGCCTTATGATATGACTAAGGTTCTGATTGTTTGCCTTGTGATGTGACTAAGGTTCTGATTGTTTGCCTTATGATGTGACTAAGGTTCTGATTGTTTGCCTTATGATGTGACTAAGGTTCTGATTGTTTGCCTTATGATGTGACTAAGGTTCTGATTGTTTGCTTTATGGTGTGACTAAGGTTCTGATTGTTTGCCTTATGATGTGACTGAGGTTCTGATTGTTTGCCTTGTGATGTGACTAAGGTTCTGATTGTTTGCCTTATGATGTGACTAAGGTTCTGATTGTTTGCCTAATGATGTGACTAAGGTTCTGATTGTTTGCCTTATGATGTGACTAAGGTTCTGATTGCTTGCCTTATGCGGTACTGATTGTTTGCCTTATGATGTGACTAAGGTTCTGATTGTTTGCCTTATGATGTGACTAAGGTTCTGATTAATTGCCTTATGATGTGACTAAGGTTCTGATTGTTTGCCTTATGATGTGACTAAGGTTCTGATTGATTGCCTTGTGATGTGACTAAGGTTCTGATTGTTTGCCTTATGGTGTGACTAAGGTTTTGATTGTTTGCCTTATGATGTGACTAAGGTTCTGATTGTTTGCCTTGTGATGTGACTAAGGTTCTGATTGTTTGCCTTATGATGTGACTGAGGTTCTGATTGTTTGCCTTGTGTGTGACTGAGGTTCTGATTGTTTGCCTTATGATGTGACTAAGGTTCTGATTGTTTGCCTTATGATGTGACTTAGGTTCTGATTGTTTGCCTTATGATGTGACTAAGGTTCTGATTGTTTGCCTTATGGTTTGACTAAGGTTCTGATTGTTTGCCTTGTGATGTGACTAAGGTTCTGATTGTTTGCCTTATGGTGTGTACCTTATGGTGTGACTGAGGTTCTGATTGTTTGCCTTATGATGTGACTGAGGTTCTGATTGTTTGCCTTATGATGTGACTGAGGTTCTGATTGTTTGCCTTATGATGTGACTAAGGTTCTGATTGTTTGCCTTGTGATGTGACTAAGGTTCTGATTGCTTTCCTTATGATGTGACTAAGGTTCTGATTGTTTGCCTTATGATGTGACTGAGATTCTGATTGTTTGTCTTGTGATGTGACTAAGGTTCTGATTGTTTGCCTTATGATGTGACTAAGGTTCTGATTGCTTGCCTTATGGTGTGACTAAGGTTCTGATTGTTTGCCTTATGATGTGACTGAGGTTCTGATTGTTTGCCTTATGATGTGACTAAGTTCTGATTGTTTGCCTTATGATGTGACTAAGGTTCTGATTGTTTGCCTTATGATGTGACTAAGGTTCTGATTGCTTGCCTTATGCGGTACTGATTGTTTGCCTTATGATGTGACTAAGGTTCTGATTGTTTGCCTTACGATGTGATTAAGGTTCTGATTAATTGCCTTATGGTGTGACTAAGGTTCTGATTGTTTGCCTTATGATGTGACTGAGGTTCTGATTGTTTGCCTTATGATGTGACTAAGGTTCTGATTGTTTGCCTTGTGATGTGACTAAGGTTCTGATTGTTTGCCTTGTGATGTGACTAAGGTTCTGATTGTTTGCCTTGTGGTGTGACTAAGGTTCTGATTGTTTGCTTTGTGATGTGACTAAGGTTCTGATTGTTTGCCTTGTGATGTGACTGAGGTTTGTGATGTGAATAAGGTTCTGATTGTTTGCCTTATGATGTGACTTAGGTTCTGATTGTTTGCCTTATGATGTGACTAAGGTTCTGATTGTTTGCCTTATGATGTGACTAAGGTTCTGATTGTTTGCCTTATGGTGTGACTAAGGTTCTGATTGTTTGCCTTATGATGTGACTGAGGTTCTGATTGTTTGCCTTATGATGTGACTAAGGTTCTGATTGTTTGCCTTATGATGTGACTAAGGTTCTTTTGGTGAGAATGACATATAGAATTTAGAACATGTCCCGGTTAGGAGAAAATATTAAATACGGATGATAAGAAATAAAATTACAGTATGGGTATTCAAGTTCACAATTATTGCCTAATGTAGACGTAATTTAAGAAACTGCAAAGCACTCCAAGGTTAAACAACTTGGATATAGATTGATTTTAACACACCATTTCATTTACATATTTGTTTCCAGGTAAAGACATCATAACAGAAGATAACAGTTCAATGATAGCATTAGCTGCAGGTCTAACCTTTTTATTTCCTATAGTTGTCGCACTTATTATAAACGTTTGTAATAGACACTGTCGTAAAAAGCCTGCCAATCGACTTCCGATTGTCGCGAGAAGTCGCTCAAGAGATAGCATCGTCAACCAGGCTTTATTTGACGCACCACCTAGTTACAATTTACTATTCGGTCATAATTCAACCGTTGCTAGTACAGAAAACTTAATTCAAAGTGAAACTCGATCATCACATGAAGAACCTATATCAAATGACCACCAACCAAATCAGATCTGTATTCATACACTACCTTCCTCGAACAGTTTACCGATAAATTCCGAATCGGTATCTGAAGCTGATAGTTGTTACAGACAGTTCCGGGACAGAATCAAGAAACTTCCGGGAATGCATTTATCAGTTATGGACATGTATAATCAGTATCGAGACAGTAGTAGTACAACACCTCCACCATCTTATAACGAGGCTCTGGTTATACTTGCTACTCTTCCGGGAAAACAAGAAGAGTCCTGATTCATCAAATGCTATAATTTGTTATTCATATGTGCCATTTCATAAATGTGTCAAAGTTATGTGCCAAACAACCAAAACTGCAGAAATCCAATACTTATTATCTTTGAAGTGTACCTCATTTATTAAAAGGTAGAACACAAAGTAATCTAGCATAATATGAGCAACGTTGTCAAATATTTAAAGAGATATTGTTCTTTTGAACATTATGTGTGCGAGAGGATCCAGTTCTAATTGAATTTGTTTTATAGATTTAATTGTTATTTATTAAATTGTTAATAATTATAAATATATTTTCCTATATGATACTTATAACTGTAAGTTATAGTTCGATTAACGAGTTTATATTTATGTACTTATAGAAGGGTACATGTATCTTACCAGACACGAGGAAGCATTCACTTCTGTGCTTCATTATATAGTATCCTTGGCTTCAATATTCATCGTGTCTCTTTACTGTCCGCAGACATTTCATTAAAACCAGAATCATTTCATAAGATAAGAGACAAGAGGCATTTGTTAATGCTAGACATTATATATATAACAGAACAAGGAGAATTAGGTCCAATTGGCAGTTCCCACTAAGGAAATATATAGATGTTTATCAATCTTTACAGACTTTTACAGTATAAAAACTTCATTGATATGAACCAAAAGAGATGTGGGTGAACGTTTAGACAGAAACCAAAGTAAACAAACAACAAAAAAACATTTACAATTAAAGTTTTGATAAAGGCAACCAATTTAGCATTGTTGTAAGATCTTTGAAAACTGTCTTTATCAGTGTACTAACATTGATTTTATTTAAATAGTTTGATACACAACTTCAAACATATATTACAGATGATAACACTTATATGCCTACATCTTGAAGTTACTTATATTTTGGTATTGCAAAAGATCATGCTTTCTCAGACTGCATATGGCTTCTCTTGCCTAATCTGTTGGAGTTTAACTGATAGATATTTTAGTCTATTGATTTGATTGATTAATTGGTGTTTAACGCCACTTTTAACACTTTAATGCTATTCCGTGGCGGTCAGCTTTTATTGGTGCCCGGAGAGAGCCACTGACCTTCTGTAGGAAAACTGACAATCCCAGTCAATTAAGATTGGAGTCGAGCGCACCTGCCATATGCGGGATACAAACTATCAACCTCGGTGTAACAGGGTACTGATACGGTAGTTCAACAACTTACACCCCTCGGCACCGAGGCCCCTTTTAGTCTAGGAAAAACGATTATTGATCAATTGAGTTCAGCTTAGGACAATATTCTAGTAACTGCGAGTAGTCTTATATCAGCACTCAGTGTCTTTTGTCTTTTTCTTATTTGTTTAGTGCTCAATAGCAATCCTATGGTTCAAGCCCTTTCTTACAGATTTTTATATAAGGAAGCAGTTTGTTCTTATGTTGTGTTGTAACAACATTGTCCCACGTAAGAGAAGGGCGAATAGATAAAAAGAAACATTGTTTAACCCCGAACAATCATTGTTTGGCTCTCCCAAGCCATGATCATGCTTTTCCGGGGGTGTTGTTGATTGTAGTTTTCAACCATATTTGTTTTTCGCTTTTATACCCTCCGGTATGAGTTCATTGTTAATAGCTGTCGGGTCCTTCTATAGTCTACCCTACGGTATGAGTTCATTGTTAATAGACGCCGGGTCCTTTTATAGCTTACCCTACGGCATGAATTCATTGTTAATAGTCGCCGGGTCCTTTTATAGCCTACACTACGGTATGAGTTCATTGTTAATAGTCGCCTGGTCTAGTCGCCGGGTCCTTTTATAGCTTATCATACGGTATTAGTTCATTGTTAATAGCCGCCGGGTCCTTTTATAGCCTTCCCTACGGTACGAGTTCATTGTTAATAGCCGCCGGGTACTTTTATAGCTTACCCTACGGTATAACCCTACGGTATAAGTTCGTTGTTAATAGCGGCCGTGTCCTTTTATAGCTTACCCTACGGTATTGGTTCATTGTTAATAACCACCGAGTCCTTTCATAGCTTACCTTACGGTATGAGTTCATTGTAAATAGCGGCTGGCCGTTTAATAGCTTACAATACGGTATGACTTCATTGTTAATAGCCACCGGGGCCTTTAATAGCTTATCCTACGGTATGAGTTCATTGTTAATAGCTGCCGGGTCCTTTTATAGCCTACCCTATGGTATGAGTTCATTGTTAATAGTCGCCGGGTCCTTTTATAGCCTACCCTACGGTATAAGTTCATTGTTAATAGCCGCCGGGTTCTTTTATAGCTTACCCTACGGTATGATTCGACATTGTTAATAGCCGCCTGGTCCTTTTATAGCTTACCCTGCGATGACTTCATTGTTTATAGCCGCTGGGTCCTTTTATAGCTTATCCTACGGTATGAGTTCATTGTGAATTGCCACCGGGTCCTTTTATAGCTTACCCTACGGTATGACTTCATTGTAAATAGCGACTGGGTCCTTTTATAGCCTACCCTACGGTATGAGTTCATTGTTAATAGCCGCTGGGTCCTTTTATAGCTTATCCTACGGTATGAGTTCATTGTGAATAGCCACCGGGTCATTTTATAGCTTACCCTACGGTATGACTTCATTGTTAATAGCGGCCGGGTCCTTTTATAGCTTACCCTACGTCATGAGTTTGTAGTCGATAACCGTACGGTGACCTGCAGTTGTTCACATATTTGACCTTTTGGCTTTATGGATAGTTGTCTCATTTTCAATCTCACTACATCTCGTCATTTTTATGTCTAGATGTCTTTATTACGGATTTTGACATCTCTTTTGGGTCTTCTTACCAAAAAAAAATCATTCTGAAATAAATTAAAATGAATTCGTATTGTTAAACGATTTCCTTCGAAACAAAATTTTACATAAAAATGTATAATTAGCAATATTGTGGAAATAATGTTCAGCACTATATTACTTCTGTCATGTTGATGGTATGAATGTATTCAAAATCATTGAAAAATCTTTGAGGTATATTATTTAGTCTCTTAAATATTCATATTCCATAAGATTTTCATACTGGGAGTAATATAAATAACAGGCAAATTGAACATACTTCATTTGGTAAAATCTAAAATATATATGCGTTCAAAATCGTTTATCATCAAATATGACTCATAACCGGATTTTATAGGCATGATCGTGTGACACGACAAGTGCCACCCGTAAATCTGGATATTATGATGTAGGAAATGTTGGTGGTTTTAATTAGGTACATTATATTTCATATTTTGAGTTAATACATATTTCAAAAATTCTTATGTTAAAGAGATGCTTCATCAGTTAGCTATTTAGTACCAACATATTTAAAACAGAGATGGAACATAACGTATGGGTCGAAGGTCAAACCATTTATGAAACCTAGAAGAAAGATTTAAAGTTGGAGTTGGACTGAAGGTTGATACATTTAAACAATTTTTAGTAGAAGTACATGTGGTGTGACGATATTCATTGATCTTGATATTCTTACCGCACAAATTTATATAATAATCCAATTGTTCCGATTAGACTGGCATAGATGGGGCATTTTTATTACTCATTTATATATCAAAACGGTTACGTAGTATTAGACTAGGCATTTATGCACGATTACATATAAATTACAAAAAACCACAGTGAACCCGTGAGACATTCCTTAAATTACACGTTCCTCTAAGGCGCTAAATAAACCAAAATATGACGACAGCCAAAATAATTCGACTTGTGGTCAGTCAGGAACTGTTAACCTCTCCGTAGAACCTGATTATACTCACGATGAGGATCATGTTGCGTAATTTCGTATGTGGTTTTCTTTAGTCATAGCGTAATGTTTTTTGTCATATCGGGATTTTTGTAACGATGACATACTTTTGGTATTCACGGTCTGTTATTCATTCACAATTATGGCAATGCCATCTGTCCACTTTTGAAGACGGTAAAATTGACCTTAATATGTTTCTTGTTTTTTTTCGCCATTGGATTGCTGTCTCATTGACGTATACTATTCTTTGTTTTAAATTATACACTTTTGACCTCTTATGAATTGAAATCTAATTCACGAAACTATAGTGGAATATACTTTGTCATCATATGCATCTTATTTTATCAATGACCTATTTCTTTGAACAGATCTAAAGAGTTTTTTCTAAGAGAATCCGCAAAACAGTTGGGTACATTAGTCAGGTTTGCATACATGATTTCTTCTGTCAAGGCAAAACTCTAGTATCCAATGCTCTATTTTAAACATTTTAATAGAATGAATAAAAAAAGAATTGCATTTTCAATATATCTTAAGTATTTCAAACGTTAACTTTATAATGTTAGCATTTTAGATACGTATTTTGTGTTTGCAGAATGTTGGAAGTTGTGTGGTTCTTCTTTATTACGTCATCATAAGTCAATAAACACACTATAGCTTGCCGTTAAGTGACTTTGTAGCGCCATGTTAACGCTGGGAAACAGCCGAGGCACAACTTACAACACATGTTATGATTTACAGATAATTGAATTTAAGCAATATCATTTTCTTTTGACCTATGATCAGAATTTATGTTAGTGGATTATGTCATGTCATTATGAGTACTTATTAAAATGAATCGATATATTCTGCAACCAAAAGTAAAGAACACATCAATACAACAGAAATAACCATAAAGGGCACATCTCAACAAAATTTTATATTAAAAGCTTGTTACAAACACATATAATATATATTAATGCAACACAAAGCAAACCTGAATCATATGAATGCAAGAAATAAAGAAATTTGACTACTTCTGTCCTCAGTTTGAATGACTGCTTATGTCCTCAGTTCTAATGACTGCTCCTATCCTCAGTATTAATGACTGCTTATGTCATTAGTTCGAATGAATTCTCCTATCCTCAGTGTCAATGACTGCTTATGTTCTTAGTTCGAATGAATGCTCCTATCGTCAGTGTGAATGGCTGTTTCTGTCCTCAAGTCTAAAGACTGCTTCTGTCCTCAGTTCGAATGACTGTTTCTGTCCTCGGTTCTACTGACTGCTTCTGTCCTAGGTTCCAAAGACTGCTGCTGTCCTCAGTTCTAATGACTGCTTCTGTCCGCAGTTCTAATGACTGCTTCTGCCCTCAGTTCTAATGACTTCTTTTATCCTCAGTTCTAATGACTGATTCTGTCCTCAGTTCTAATGACTGCTTCTGTTCTCAGTTCTAATGACTGCTTCTGTCCACAGTTCGCATGACTGCTTCTGTCCTCAGTTCTAATGACTGTTTCTGTCCTTAGTTCTAATGACTTCCTCTGTCCTCAGTTCTAAAGATTGCTTCTGTTCT